GCCAGCGTCCATAATCGTCTCTTGGTGCTTGGCTTTGGACGCAATGTTGCCGAGCGTGATCGCCCCAAAGAGGCGGTACGTGGCGTCGGCCGAGCACAGGAACGCAATGAGCGCGTGCACGTCGCAGGCGTCGAGGAAGAGGTCGGGCGACGCGCCAATGCAGCCGCTCAAGCTCAAGTTGCACAGCGTCGCCAGCACTTCCTGCTGCACGTCCATGTCCTTGGACCGCGTGAGCGCAAGGAGCGGCGGGAGACCGCTCATTTGAACGATGCGGTCGCGCACGGCCGCGTCCACGGAAAGCCCACGGAGGGCCGAGACGGCGCGCAGGACGCTCTTGCCGTCGCCCGACGCCACGAGCTGCAGCAAGGACGAGAGGCAGTGAGGGGCGTCGACCAAGAGCGCGTGGTTTTCAGGAAAGGCCGCAAAGTTGGCGATCCCAAACGCAGCGGCGTTGCGGATGCTCGCGTCGGCTTCGTTCAAAAGCGACGTGAAGAGCGAGATGATGCCGGCGTCGATGAGCTGACCATGCGTCGTCTGAACGGACGCGAGGTTGGTGAGCGCGTAGACTGCGTAGCGCTGGCTGTCAATGTCGCCGTTTCCGAGCTTGGCCAACACCGAGAGCGGGTGGATCGCGCCGTCCTGGATGAGCTTGGACACGTTCTCGACGTTGGTCGAGAGGTTCGCGAGGCCCATGGCGCCATAGCGTTGGCAGAGAAAGTCTGGCGAGCTCAGCGTCGCGACCAGCGGGCCGAGGCCGCCCGTGGATGCAATCTCGGCCGTGTACGCGTACTCGGCCGACATGTTGGCGATGCACCGCACCGCCTCGCGCTGGATATCGACGTTCTTGGAGCGCAAAATGAACTTGACGTGCTGCAAGACGCCTTCCTGGACCATGCGGCCTTGGTTCTCGACGACTTCGGCGAGGTTGGCGAGGATGCCGGCCGCCTGGTGCGAGACCTCAATGTCGCCCGAGTGCGCCAGCGTCACGAGCGGCGGCAGCAAACCGTTGAGCACAATCGCGATCTTGTTGTCTTCGCTCAAACTCAGATTCCGAATCGCAGCGGTCGCCTCCCGCTGCACTTCGGTCGACTCGGATTGCGTGAGCGAGAAGAGAGGCTTGAGGCCGCCGTGCAGCACGATCTGGACGCGCGTCTTGGGCTCGAGCGCCAACCGACGCACCGCAAAGCAGGCCTGTAGGTGCGTCTCTTCGTCGACGTCGCCCATGAGTCCAATGATCGTGCGCAGAATGCCCATCTTGCCGAGCTGCGCCCAGTTGGCTTCGTTACCCGCGACGTTGTTGATGGCAAAGGCAAGACACCGCCTCGTTTCCGGATCGCTCGACGTCTCGAGATGCAACAAGGCGGCAATCGCGCCCTGGTCGAAGAGGTCTTTGTGGTTGGCGGCCGAGACCGCAAGGTTGCCGATCGCCAGCGTCCCAAAGCGCTGCGACAGGGCGTCGGGCGACTTGACAAAGCTCACAATGTGCTGCAGCGCGTTGCTCCGCAATAGCGTCGGCTGCGACGACGGTTTCGACGCGAAGAGCGCGAGGCAGCGCGCGACCTGCTGCTGGATCTCGATGTCATGCGAATTGGTCAGCGCATACAGCGGCGTGAGCACGCCTTCCTCGAGCATCTTGCGCTGCGTATGGCCCTCGACCATCTCGGCCATGTTGGCGAGCGCACAGATCGCGTGCCGCTCGCGCGATGGATCGCCGCTCTGCGCGAGGCTAATGAGCGGTGGGAGACACCCACCGCGGGCCATCGTGACTTTATTCTCTTCGCAGATCGAGAGGTTGCAGAGCGTCGCGGCCACCTCGCGCTGCACCTCGATGGACTCGGAGCTCGCGGCCAAAATGAGCGGCTCGAGCGCGCCGAGGCGCATGATCTGCTGGCGCACGTCTTGGTTGACCGAGAGGCCGCGGAGGGCCGCAATGGCTTGGAACTGGACGTTCGTGTCGCCAGGAAATGCAAACGAGACGAGCGGCTTGAGCGCTTGGGCGTCCACGATCGCCTCGACGTTGTCCGGGTTGCTGCAGAGGTTGCCGAGGCCAAAGACGGCAAACTGCCGGCACTTGACGTCACGGTGCTTGGCGTAACTCGTGACCAAGTGCAGGCCGCGCGCCATGATTTCGGCGTGGGTGGTCTGGGACACGGCCAGGTTGGCGACGATGAGGAGGCAGTACCGGATCGTCTCGTTGTCTGCGACCGAGCGCGGGTCCAAGGCTTCCTCCAAGCGAGCCATCACAGGGTCGAGAATCTTGAGCTTGAGCATGCGGCCTTGGTTCTCGACGTTGGTGGCGAGGTTCGAGAGCGCCATGGCGGCCATGCGCTGGCACTCGACCACCTCGGACGTCAACAGTGTCACCAGCGGCGAGACGGCGCCGCGCTGAAGAATCACGTCGCCATAGTCGCAGTTGGCGGCGAGGTTGCCAACGGCGCGGGCCGCCTCGCGCTGGATGACCTCGGTGCCGGCAATGAGTGCGTCGACGAGCGGGCCGATCGCGCCGCTGTTGACGATCCGCGCTTGGTTCTCGATGCTTTCGCTAAGATTGGCGAGCGCGCAGCACGCTTGGCGGTGCGTCGCGCCGTCGGTGCTGCTCAGCGACGCAATGAGAGGGGGTAAGCCGCCGCTTTTGCACATTTCGGCCTTGTTGGCATCTAATACACCCCCTAAATATATTCCTTTCGACATGCCAGAGCGTACCAGCAAACGAGAGCGTGCAGAGCGCGGGGAGCACGTCGCGGTGGATGTCCGAGTCTTCGGTGCGCGCGAGGAAGAGCACCGGTTCCAAGCCGCCCTCCTCGGTGATTTTCTTGCGCAAGTCGGCGTTGAGCGCGACTTTGACGAGGGCAAAGGCTGCGTACTGGCGCACTTCTTGGTCCGGCGCGCTCGAGAGACTAATCAGCAACGGGATCGAGCCTTCCTGGACCATCATCTTATGGTTCTCGACGCAGGACGCGAGGTTAGCGATCGCCAAGATCGCAAAGCGCTGGATCTCCACCTACGCGACTCGTACATCCAGAGTCCTTGCGTGTGTCATAAGGTGTACCTCGACGTCTTCGGAGCGCGCGAGGGACATGAGCGGGTCCATGGCGCCACACGTCATGAGCGTCACGCGCTCGTCCGGGTTGGTCGAGAGGTTGCACAGGCCGAGCGCGCCGACGCGTTGGCAGGCCATGTCGGGCGACAGAAGCGACGAGATGAGCAACTGGTGGCCGCCAGCGGCAAGGATCTCGTCGTGGTTGGCGTGGCGCGCGCACAGATTCGCGAGCGCCCGGCCGGCCTCGCGCTGCACCTCGACAAACTGCGACCGCATGCATGCAATGATGGGCGGGATCCCGCGCTCGGCGGCAATCAGCGCCTGGTTCTCGTCGACCTCGGCGAGGTTGGCCAAGGTGCCACTGCACTGGCGCGCGACGAGCATGTCCTCGGACTGCGCGTGCGCGAGCAGCGGCGGCACGCACCCACTCTTTGCGATCTCATACTTGGTTTCCTCGCTCCCACTGAGGTTGCAGAGCGCGCCGCACACTTCGCGGAGGACGTCGACGTCGTCGTCGGTGCCGAGGAGCCGGACCAGGGGCTCCAAGCCGCCTTCCTGGACGATCTTGATCTTGTTGGCTGGCGTCACGCTCAGGCCGCGGAGAGCCGCCGCGGCTTGCTGGTGCGCGTCCGAGTCGGCCGAGCACGCGAGCGTGATGATGGGCTGCAGCCCGCCTTCTTCGATCATGCGGGTGTGGTTGGCGTCGTTGGACGCGAGGTTGGCGAGGGCGTACGCGACATAGTACTGGCTCAACGCGTCCGACGAGCTCGAGAGCGAGAAGAGGGCGAGGAGCCCGCCTTCCTCGAGGATCGCGGGGTGGTTGGCGACCATGGCCGCGAGGTTGGCGATGCCAAGGACCGCGTACCGGCGCGCCTCGAGCTCCTTCTCGAACGCCTGCGCGAGCGCGATGAGCGGCCGCACGAGCCCGAGGCTCACGATCGCAATCTGGTGGCGGCCGATCACGCTCAAGTTGGCAATCGTCAGCGCGGCGTAGCGCTGCGTCATGTGTGGGCGAAGACGAGCGCCTTCGAGACCGGGTCCAGCACCCCCTGCAGCATGAGGTGCTCGTGCATCTCTTCGTTGGCGCTGAGGTTGGCGAGCGCGCGGCAGGCCTCGGCCTTGGTGTTCGGCTCGTCGTTCGAGGCGAGGGCGAGGAGGGACGCAAGACCGTTCTCGCGAATGAGCTTCATGTGCAATTCCGGCATCTCGAGGAGGTTGGCCAGCGTGCAGCAGGCAAACTGCTCGACCGACGCGTCGCCGGACAAGCTCATGGCGAGGATCGTGAGGAGCGCGCGGTCGGCGATCTCCATCTTGTTGGCCTCCATGCACGAGAGCGTGCAAAAGGCCGCGGCGACTTCCCGCGCAATGTCGAGCTCGTCCGAGCGCGCGAGGAGCACGAGGGGGTCGAGAATCCCTTCTTTCACGACCACGAGCCGGTACGACGGCGTGATGCAGATGCCCCGCAGCGCCGCCATGGCCTGTCGCTGCGCACTGAGGTCCTTGCAGCAGGCCACTAGACATGCAAGATAGGAGACAAATCGTCGAGAGAGGAAAAGGTCGCACGCGCAATGAGGCGGGGGACTGCGCTCTCTTCGACGATGAGCGGCCGGTACTCGTTGTTGATGGCGAGGTTGGCGAGCGCAAATGCGCTATACGCGCCGAGCGACGGCGCGTCCGGGTCGAGGAGCTGGACGAGCGCCGAGATCGCGTGCAGCTTGACGATCTCTTCTTGGTTCTCCGGCTCGGCCGCGAGGTTGCCGACCGCCATGGCCGCATACTGCTTGCCGACGACGTCGCCGTCCGCCTTGGTGAGGAGGCCGATGAGCGGCGGCACGACGCCCTCCTCGACGATGCGGATGCGCATGGCCACGCAGGACGAGACGTTGCCGAGGCAGAGGCAGGCGAAGCGCAGCCCCTGGTCGTCCGACGACTCTTGGATGAGGTGCAAGAGCGCCCGGACGACGCCCTTCTCGACCATCTTGACGTGGAACTCGGGGTTCGTCGACACCTCGGCGAGGTTGAAGGCGACCTCGCGCTGCTCCGTCGGCTTGCGCTCGCGGCGCCCGCGCGCGATGAGCTGCTCGAGCACCTTGGAGGCCATGTCTTGTCGACTACTGGCGCGGAAACCGTCGCCGCCGCTTCACCTCCCCTACCCCTCCTTGCAATTTGTCAACCCCGCGTATGTACACAGTTCAAACCAAATTCTTTATGTTTCTCGACGCTTAAAAGTCGGCCATCCAGTCCATCTCGCGCGTGTACGGCACGGCGAGGTCCAGCGTCCGCTTGCTCGCGGGCGCCGACGCAAGCAGGTCCCGCAACTTGACGCCGGCAATGTCTTCGAGTGGCGCCTGTCTCCAACTGTCAATGTATCAACTTGATGAGGATGGAAGGCGTACCGGCAGCTCGTTGGCCTTGAGGGCGGCCCAGTTGACCGACTCGAAGAACGCTTCGTTCATGACACCGGCGTCTTCGTCGAGCTCGATCGTGTCGGCCCAGCCGAGGCGCTCGTTGGGCTTGGTGCGGAGCAGCGCCTCGATGATGCTGCGGAGACCGGTCGAGACGTGCTCGGGAAACACGAGCGTGTCCTACACCGTCTTAAGTGAGACGCGGAGGCGCGACGAGGGACTCGAACCGGCGAGAAGGATGCGATGCTGCGGTACATGTCGAGCTCGTCGAGGCCGTCAAAGGGCGTGTGGCCGACCGCCATCTCGTAGAGAAGCACGCCGAGGCTCCAGTAGTCGGACGCCAAGCATTGCCCGTGGCCGTTGATCTGCTCGGGCGAAATGTACTCGGGGTTGCCGCAGATCGTAAACGTACGCCCCGCGCCGACATACTTGCTTTGCCTATCAAACGATATACATTTGGAATGCTAGGAGAGGGGTGGTTTTGGTACCGAAGACCGACGATCGAGAGCTGGCCGTGCGCGTCGACCATGAGGTTGGTCGGGTCGAGCGACCGGCACAAAATACCCTCCTACGCCCGGCATCAGCCTCGCACGAAACAGATGCGACGCACCGCGTGGAAGCGCTGGAGGCCGAGCACGAGCTGCGCCGCGTAGTAGCGCACGGACGACTCGGCGAGCGGGAAGATGCCAAACTCCTCGAGCAGCCCCACAATCGGGCGGTCAAAGAACGCGTGGAGGTCCGTGGCCGTGTGGCTGATGGCGGCGACGGGCGTGATTGCCAGCGGCAGGTTCTCGCCGAGGGCAAGGAGCATGTCCTGCTCGGCCGCCAACGCCTGCTTTTGCCGGCGGTCGCAAGCGACTTGCTTGGGGATCGAGCGCAGCGTCCGTGCATTCTCGTCCATGCCCTTGGTCGTCACGATGCGGAAGGCGCACGACGCGTCGTGGAAGACGGTCGGCCCGACGATGAGGTCGTCCAATGTCGAGATGCCCTCGATCGGCGCCCCCAGAGGCAGCAGCGTGCGCAGCTACCCGCATCCGTCATTACCACCGTCTCTCTCTCAAATAGAACGCACCGGCGTTGCCTTCTTGGCGGCACTGAGCTCGTGCTTGCGCGCTATCCGCGTCTGGTACGTGGCCACGAGCGCCTCGAGGTTGCCAACGGCCGCTTCAAACGCGGACCGCGTCACGCAGAGGCACTCGGTGGTCTCGGTGGCCAGCAGCGTCGTCGGACTAGGTATCAATATATCAGCACACCACCGATGGCGACGGGGTCACCTCATCGACGAGGTGCCGGTCAGCGCAAAGTCCGTCACCGACGCGTGCGTCGAGAAGACGCGGTCATTCTTGACGTCGGCGATGTTGCCACTGACAACGACGAGCCACTTGTCGTGGACGTGGCCTTCCTTGCACACGATCGCGTCCTTCTCGAACACGACCGTCTTCATGGCTTCGGCGAGCAAGTGGAGCTGCGCACTCGTGAGCGGCTTGAGGAGGCTCACGGCGCGGAGGCGCGCGACGACGTTGCGCAGCGGCCGGCGCACGAGGATGGACCGGAACGCGCTCCGGCGAATCGACCACAGCGTGCCGTTCGAGGTCGCGACCACGGACGCCGCGCGGGGCTTGGAGTACATGAGCGCGAGCTCGCCAAAGGTCGGGTGCGTGCTCGCGGTGGCCGAGTACGTGTGCACCACCGGCCCGAGCTCGTGGTCGTCGCCGTCATTCGTCTCGGTCGACTGGACGCGGACGTCGAACTTGCCGGCTTCGGCCTACGAGCGTTCCATGCGTCTCTCTCTCCACTCGGTGCAAGCACGTACGAGGTAAAACTTGTCGCCGTCGTCGCCTTGGCGGATCACGACTTGGCCGGCGAGGACGGTCTCCTTGTCCATGACGGCAATGACGTCATTGAGCTACACATGACGGACGCGTGAGAATGACAATGACAGAAGAGAGACGACGATGACGACCTTGTCGTCGGTCAAGTGCGAAAACAGAAAGTTGTGCTGGACCATGTTCCAGAGCGCGTCCTTATCTTCTTCCGACTTGGCGACCGTGTGCGCGGTCAGGTCAAACGGCGCGTCATCCGACGTCGGCGACGACGGCAAAGACGCGCGTGACGCTTCGTCGTCATCGGGCAACATGGAAATGTGCACGGCATCGGCGCCGATGATGGTTTGGCGCGACCGCCAGCTCTTGTTGGTGTCGACGCCGAGGCCGCGCACGGGCCGGAGGCTGTCCTCCATCGCCAAGAGCACCTCGCGACCCGCAATGATGCTGTTGCGGTGCACCTTGGTCGAGGTGGCCGACGCTTCGCGCGAGACGACGGCGGGCATGATCGGCGCGGCCATCGGCGCGTCGTCAAAGAAGATGCAGATGCACGTGATGTCGTCCGTGCGCACTTCAAACTGCAGCCAGCGGTTGTAGGCTTCCTCGACGACTGCGCGCGAGGCCTCGAGCGGGTCCTTGTAGAGCTTGACGATGTTGACCACGGCCTGAGACGTCAGAAACTCAAAGACGCCGTCGCTCGCAACCACAAGGAATCGGTCATGCGCGCCGAGCGACTTGGTGACGATTTCGGGCTCGGCAAACACGCCGAGCTCTTCCGAGACTTGGTCGCCGATGCTGCGCGTAAAGGCCGTGCCCGGGTAGTCGCCGTGGGGGTGCCAGATGCGCGGCGGGTCGCCGCTCTCGTCAATCTCGTCGCCGAGCGTGAGCCCCCAGTTCTCGTGGATCGGCTCGTAGCCTTCGAGCTGGTCGACTGTCATGATGCGCGCGCCCGTCTTCTTGACGCGGTCGCGCTCGTCCTTGCGGAACGGCGTCTGGTCGATCGAGAGCGGCTTGGCGACGAGCTGCGGCGCCTCGCCTTCACTGCTCGATACCTCCTGCGCAATGATCGCGCGCGAGTCGCCGACGTTGGAGACGTGGATCTCGTTGCCGTCAAAGAGGATCGAGATGGCAGTCGTGCCACTCATCGAGTCGTCGAACGACGCCGAGTGGATCTAGTCGCTTCGTGAGAATCTAGATAGAGGGTGTGTCATGCTACGTACGAGGTTGTTGGCGTCGATGTGGGCGAGCGTGAGCGCGTTCGAGACAGGCATGCCATTCTTGAGGTTCTGCGCCAAGAGCTCCGGCACCTACGTTCGATGAGCCAAGCCATTCGTCGGACGCGCGGGACCTTGTCGCGGGCAAACTGCGCGCAGTGTTCGCCGGTCGAGCCATGGCCGTCAAAGACGCCAAAGAACGACTTGCCCTCGTGGAACGTCGGCAAGCACGTGAACGCGTCCTGGTTGGGCTTGTGGAGCGCTACGCGTCGACGTGCTTAGTCTGCGCCACACATGGAGTTGGAAGGGTACCGTCGGGGTAGTAGCCGCGCTGGGACACGAAGGCGTACGAGAAGGTGTAGCTGCCGCTCGTAAAGACGTTGGCGCGGGGCGGCGCGAGCGTGCGCATGTCGAGGTCCTTGACCGTGAGCGGGCCGGTCGAGTAGCGCCGGCCTTCGGAGGACCGGCGGCTGGCGGGCGTCTCCTTGGCCGCGGACGCCGAGACCGACGGGCGCACCGGCGGTATCGCTGTCGCCGCGCTCGCGTTCGAGCAGCAGTTCCCCATGGCGACTTGGCAAAAATAATTTGATCGGCTCTCGCCTCTTTTTATAGGCACGAGCCGTTGCGCTTCTGTCTTCCTTTTCATACAAAATCCAAGTCATTTTCCAACTCGGTCCGAATTACACCCAGGTGCAGTAACATCGAGCCAGCGATGCGTCACGGCCGCGCGCCGCCCACTCGGTCGACGATGCCGCCGCCATGGATGCGACGCAGCGCACGCCACTGCCGACGACGGCCAATGCTGGACGCAAACGACGGCGTTGGCGCCGGTTCGAGGCCGGGATCCTGCACCCTTCTGGTGCAGCGAAACAGACGCATAGACACGACGAGGGCTGGGCGCCGCGTGCGACGCGACGATGCGATGGCGCTGGCCAGCGAGGCTACTACACGACTGCGACACACGTCGTAAGAGATCCGACAAGCTCGCAGCGCCCGACGCCTGAAAAAGGTTGCAGCGCTGGCTACTTGACTTGCGCGATGATACTTTCGATGGGTCCACGCGCCACGTCATTTTTGTCGCCGTATCCGGAGGACATTATCCGGCAGATTACGCAGCATGGACGAAGCGACGCCACTCATCGCCGCGAGCGATGGCGGCTGGGGCGACCTGCGCGCCGAGGCGGCGGCCATCGGCGGCATGGCGTGGAAGGTGAGCCTCGCGACCTTTTGCCGGCTCTGCGTCACGACCATCTCGACGGCCTTCCTCGGGCACCTCGGCACGAAGGAGCTCGCGGCCGGCGCGCTTGCCGGCTCGTTCATCGGCGCACTCCGCGTGCTCAACTGGGCGTTTGCCGTCTCCATCTGCACCGTACGACGCTGTATACGATGCTGGATGGCGATGTATGATCGATCTGTAGCTCTGCGGCCAAGCGTACGGCGCCAAGAACTACGAGCTCGTCGGCACGTGGTTCCAGCTCGGGCTGCTCGGGCTCACGCTGCTCTCGGTGCCCGTGATAGTGGTCTATTTCTACGTCGGCGACATCATGTCGATCGTGACCGACGACGTCGAGCTCCTCGCGCTTGCCGACACGTACGCGCGCTACTCGGCGCTCTCGGTGTGGCCCCAAGCCATCTACGTCGCGCTGCGGTACACACCTCTCTTGCATTACTAGCTCACTGAAGACGGCGGCGTAGGCAATACCTTCAAGCACAAGAGATCCTGACGCCGACCACGGTCATTGATACGTGGAGCGTCGGCGTCGTCTTTGGCGCCAACTACGTTCTGATCTACGGCGTCGGGTCGTTTGCCGGCCTCGGCTTCATCGGGAGCCCGCTCGCGGCCCTTGTTGCCGCGGTCTTCCAACCGACCGCGCTCTTTCTCTATGCGTTCGTGTACAAGGGCTACCACAAGCGTACGTCTCTTCTCTGTCGTGTCATCGCAGCGTCACGAAGAAGGGTGTAGGCACGTGGGGCGGCTGGTCCATGGCGGTGCTGAACCCAGCGTACGTGGCCCGGTTTGCGTCGCTCACCGGCGCCATGTTCCTCAACCTGGCGCTGGACGAGTGGGCGTACAACGTTGTGGCGATGGTCGCCGGCGCGCTCGGCGGCATCAACCTCGCGGCCAACAGCATCGTCTTCAACATCTGGATGCTCGGATACGGCGTCTTTGCGGGCTTTAGCCTCCCGATCCAAGTGCGCATTTCGCATGCGCTCGGTGCCAACCAGCCGGCCGACGCCAAGCGTACGCTGCTGGTGGGCTTCGTGCTCGGCGCGCTCTCGTCCACTGCAACGGTCCTAGGCGTCGTGCTCTTTGGTCGGTCGCTCGTCGGCGTCTTCACCAGCGACGAGGCTGTCGTCAATGTCATTCTGAGCATCCTCCCAATCTTTGGGCTCGCGATGGCCTTCTCGAGCTTTCACGTTTTCTTGTCCGCGGTCATCGAAGCCATGTCGCTGGCCTCGACGCTGGCGGTCATCTCGGGTGTTGGCTCCTGGTGCGTGCTCCTCCCAGCCTCGTACCTCTTTGGCCTGACGCTAAACGGCGGCCTCGCGGGTCTCTGGTGGGGCAGGTGCGTTCGAATCGCGTGGGTTTCGTCGACTCTTATTGGAATGCTAGTGTGCTCGGGGAAGGCGCCAAGTTTGTGCTCATTCTGCTCGCTTTGCAGCGCCTCGACTGGCGCGCAATTGCCGCGCAGATTGCGGCGGCGCAAGAAAGCTCGGCCAGCGATGGCGACGACGAGACGCCACTGCACAAGGCACTGGAACTGGATCTCCACAGCCCCGCAGCCGCCGCGACCCCAGCCTTTGTCTAAACATGACAAACGTACAATCGATACTCATACAGCAGCAGACCTCGATTTGCAGTGGACTGTGGGCGCAGGTGGGAGCAGAGGATAACAAGATTCGCAAATCGAATACCATGATCTCATTGGCCGTTATTCTGTGATTTATATCCAATCACACATCCAGAACCCGAATGCCCAAATCCACCGTGCCGCCGGACTCATGATGGCCACGATCTCATTGAAAAATGAAATCGCCCAAACGCAGCCTCGTGGTAGAAAACGCGTCGGGGACTCGAAAATGCTACCCCGCGTCACCAGGCGAGGCGTATTGCGAGAGATATGGACCCGGTTGTTAATCGTGGTATATGCCACTTGTAGACATTTATAGCCATATATAACGCCACGGACGATCAGCAAATCGTACTAGTAGAACGCTCGCATAACGTTCGTAGTCCATGCTCCCATAATACGATTGTTTGGCTTGCACGGAGCGGGCGCTGTTGCTCTTGATGCTCGACGTCGTCAAAGTCGCAGTTCAAGGGTCATACGCCAGAGAGGTTGTCCACGTCGCGTCCCTGGAGGATGCTGAAGAGATGAAGCAGGTGTGGTTTTAGAGTACCCTATACGCGTGGCCTGCACGTGCATGGCTCCGCCACCCACGTCAAATGCCGTCGTCAGGCAGTCAAAACAACGATCCTTGGCATTATTGACACAAGAAACAAGAATGACTGTGGCACGTGGGCCCTGACGCCAACGAGTCTGGCGGGCCTTGACAGCTTCTATCGCTGGCAGCTGCGTCGTCTTCTAGACATCTTTCACCCGAACACGCTCGGCGACGTCGCGCCCTACAAGCGCTGCAACAGTGTCCCGCTGAGCGAGATCGTCGCCCGCCAACGCTGGCGCCTGCTGGGTCACGTGCTGCGCCTGGAGACAGACGTCCCTGCCAACATTGCCGCCGCCCGCTTCTTTGCCGCTCCCGAGGCGCCCGTTTTTTAGGCCGCACCAAGATCACGTTCGCCGATCGTCCTGCAC